TCATTGTTGTTTGGCGGGCCCGGGCTGGATTCGAACCCGCCACCTTAGGTGTATGTGACTGGCGCCTTAGCCACTTGAGCCACAGGCGCCAAGCCCCATGGCTGAATTCTAATGACTCATTACTTCTATGGATTACTTTATTTTCCTTGAATTAACACCAGATTGTATTTTATCCCCTTTTTATGGTTTTGGATGTGCTTGCATGCTTTTTGCATCTCCTGGAGTTCCCTGTTTCCTTTTTCTTTCACTTGTCTTCATTCCCCTAAGTTCCTGCATCCCATTCAGTCCATTGCACGGGATTTTTCTAGTGACTTCAGTCTATTTCCTTGGTTTTCATGCTAATGTTCAAATCAAGTTTTGTGTTCTATTCTGGGTAGCATAATTCATTGAGATACATGTATTAATACTAGAATGTGTCTGGAAGACAGAGTGGTAAGCGGGGACTGAAAATCATGGTGTCCTCGAAATGGATGAAGTCACTAGGTGTGTTAGCTTGGAAAGGAGAAGGTTAAAAAGGAATAAAGTCTATAAAATCATTATTCAGAAGAGCATTATTGTTCCTGAGATGAGAAATTATAAGAAGGCCGATATCAAGTGAGTACAAGAAGATTCTGAGAATTAGTCAAATGGACAGCTTCAAGAGTAGTGATTTCAGTATATGCAAAGGCTGAATGAGCACTTGTAAGAAGTAAGGTTATGGTATTGGGGTTGGTGCTGTGTGCTGGTTTGACTGCAGATCTTGAACGTCCCTACTAAGACATGATTTTTTACCAAAGCATGGTGGTGACTGCTAATTTGCCCTCAGTTTGTTCCTCAGAGGATCAGAGCCCACCAAGGCCAAGGCCACCAGAAGTTTTTGAAGCCTAAGGAAAACACAAAATTATCTCTTACTGTATAGTAGCATTTTTGTGAGAGGAGCAGCTGCAGGTTGGCACTGTCAGCGAAATGAGTCAGATGCAGCGCAGACGTTTATTCTCCCTCAGCAGCCTCCTCATTTCTCAAGCACCCACGTGGTTTTCTACCTGCTCTTCTTTCCGTGGCACTAGAAATTTTGTGTTTTGTTTTGAAGAACATCAGTTTCTCATTTCCTACAAATCTTGCCTGCTTCTACTTGCAACTCTCACTATTACTATTCCTAGGCACTTGCTACTTTGCCAGCCTTCTCTTGAAACCTCTTCCTTCCCTTTCCAATAAGGATAGGCCCATAGCTCTGTGACTGAGCCCTTTGGTTACAAGGCCCTTTTCTTTGGCTTCTGTAGCATTGCCTTGATGCTTCTTTTAGGACATTACTGGATTTTATTTTGTTTCCTTAGTGCATAGGAACCTTCTGAATTATTTTATTTTATTTTATTTTAGACAGGGTCTTACTATGATGCTCAGGCAAGTCTCAAACTCCTGGATTCAAGTAATTCTCCCTAAACCTCCCAAGTCCTTCTGATATTTTTATTATCATTATTTTATTATGTTGAGACAGAGTCTCATTCTGTCACCCTGGGTTGAGTGCCACAGCAACCTCAGTCTCTTGGGCTCAAGTGATCTTCTTGCCTCAGCCTCCCAAGTAGCTGGGACTACAGGTGCCTGCCACAATACCCGGCTATTTTTGTTTTTAGAGATACAATCTTGCTCTTGCTCAGGCTGGGCTTGCACTCATGAGCTCAGACAATCCACCTACCTTGGCCTCTCAGAGTGCTAAGATTACAGGCGTGAGTTACCAGGCCTGGCCTCTGATATTACTTTAAAACCTAGTATGGAGGTATCAGAAAAGTTTCAATGTGCTTATCTTTGTTTTGCCGTCTGAAGACTGTTTTCTAAATTGTTTTGTCAAGAGGGTAGAAATTGGCTGATATTCCTATAAGTTTGGTTAAAAGATGGAATAAAAGATTTCATGAATCCATTTTGATTTGATTCTTTTTCACCTTTGTGTTGCCCCATTCTGAATCATGTTTCTTCTTTTCCACTGAGAATGTGCCGACTTCCCAGCTCCTTTCCTCCATGGTTTCCTGTCTTCTTGGGCTGTTCTCTCTTGGTGTGCCACCTCTTTCCTGTTTGGGAGGGCTTTGGAAATGAATGCCGTTAACTGTTGAAACTCCAAAGTTGAGAATGTATCTGTTGCTCACTTTGTGTGTATGTTTTTACTCCCTGGTGGTCACTGTCACTAGAATCCTGCAATGATAAGTCGAAGTTGAAAGGCCCCTTATCTGGTCAAGGCAGTGAAGGCAGCACACCCAGCTCTCTGTACATGGAGTATGGTAAGTGAGTACTAGGAAGGCCAGGGCTAAAATTTGTATCTTTTCTCTGCTCTCCCCTTGTGCCTGCTAAGCTCTGAGCATTGGGGTTCATCTCAACTCTGTGGAGGGCACACACAGTACAGTCTCACCCGCCCATTTGTCATTTTCAACCCCTGTGCTAGAAATCACACCTCCCTGCCATTTCTCTTATTCCTCGCTGACTTAGGGGTCCCACCTTGTCTTATGCTTTGGGTGTCACCACCATGTGTCAGTTGATCCAGATGGAATGTCTCTTTGAGTGGGTGAGAGGGACCTTGGAAAGAGACCTTGGAACATCTGGACTTAATTACCAGAAGACAAGCTCTACGTGCAAATCAGGCACAGGATGAAGCCATGTGTGCCCTTTTCCGACTCTCAGTACTGGGTTTAAACAACTTAATTATTTTTTTCTTTTTGGTGGGGTAGGAGGGAGAGTAAGTTGTCTTTAAATTTAGATGGTAAAAGGTTTGTCTCTAGGCTCCCTCCATTTAGTCCACCTTTCTCCAACCAACAGGCTTATTGATTTGGGATTCTAAGAGTCTAAGTAATTCCTTTTTTAGAAGGTGGACATCTTCTTTTCAACCTTTAATTCCTAGTTACCAGGGAAGACTTGGGAACGTCTTTAGTGTTAAAATCTTCAGACTCCTCAAAGAAGCTTGGCTGATACAGATTCACATTTCAAATCAAAGCTTTTTACATCCATGTTACATTTCCCCACAGAGGGTGGTCAGTACCTATGCTCAGGAGAAGGGATGTTCCGAAGACCATCAGAAGGACAGTCACTCATCAGCTACCTCTCTGAGCAAGACTTTGGCAGCTGTGCAGACCTGGAAAAGGTGAGGAATCTAAGGGGCTGAAGAGCTAATGAGTTGAGTGATCTGGCCTGAGGGTCTGTAGCACCATTTGTTGTAATGAAATTTGGGGTACACAGCAGTGACATGAGTACTGTGCAGTAAAGATAGGTTTGCTGTCTTTAGGTGATAGAAAAGTGATTTCTGTTTCCGAGGAACTCTTTAGGGAATGTGTGCTCCTTGTCAAGTCTAAAATATTATCGACTTTATCTTAAAAGCCCACCAGGGCAGAGAAATCTTCAATTTTTTCCATATGATTGTGTTCTCTTGACCTTGGAACTTAGGTAAATACTATTTCCAGAACCAATATCTATACTTTGGTCAAAGGCTTAGATATGTAATAAATAACATCTGTGTAACATTTCATAGTTTACAAAGCTATAATTTTATCCTGAGACATATCCTATATAGGTATATGACTTTGGGAAAGAGTCTGATTAAAATCCTGGGCCTCGGCTCAGCGCCTGTGGCTCAAGCGGCTAAGGTGCCAGCCACATACACCTAAGGTGGCGGGTTCGAATCCCCAGCCTGGGCCTGCCAAACAACAATGATGATGGCTGCAACCAAAAAATGGCCAGGCGTTGTGGCGGGCGCCTGTGGTCCCAGCTACTTGGGAGGCTGAGGCAGGAGACTCGCTTGAGCCCAGGAGTTGGTGGTTGCTGTGAGCCGTGAGGCCACAGCACTCTACCCAGGGCGACAGCTTGAGGCTCCGTCTCAAAAAAAAAAAAAAAAATCCTGGGCCTCTTTTTTGTATAGAAAGCAGGGCACGAAGGGACCGGCATGGCCAGGTAAGAGAGCAAAGAGAATCTTGAACAAGTTTTCTGGCCATTAGCTTTCCTTATAGTAAAAATGTATATTTTCCCTGGGTGTCTTCAATAAAAGTGGTACATATTTTAGAAGCTCCATTTTCTAACCTTATCATCGATGACCCCTTGCCAAGCAACTTTTGCTGCTCTCCTTCCTGCAGGAGAATGCCCACTTCAGCATCTCAGAGTCCTTGATTGCTGCCATTGAGCTGATGAAATGCAATATGATGAGCCAGTGCCTAGAAGAGGAGGAGATGGAGGAGGAAGACAGTGATAGAGAAATCCAAGAACTGAAGCAGAAGATCCGCCTTCGACGCCAGGAGATCCGAACCAAGAATATGTTCCCCATATACCAGGACACTGAGCATGGAAGTGAGTGAAGCCCATGAACAATTCTGTTCCCGCATTCTTAAGGTTTCAGGATAAGACTTGGTGCCTTGTGGGTTTTCTTTTTGGTTTTCATTTGGGATGTTATACCCTTTAAAGCAAGGGTTCCACTGCTGTCAGGGAGATAATTCTATGTTTTTCTACTTTTTTTTCTACCATTCTAGGAATATTTATCCTAGAGTTCATCTGTTTCCTACATCAAAAATAGTTCCTTTTCAAAATAAGTTTCTTTTTTATTTTCTTTTTGAGATAGAGTCTTGCTATGTTGCTTAGGCTGGGTTTTTTTGTTTTGTTTTGGTTTGGTTTTGAGACAGAGTCTTACTTTGTCACCCTCAGTAAAGCACTGTCGTGTCATACCTGACAGCAACCTCAATCTCCTGGGCTCAAGCGATCCTCTCACTTCAGCCTCCTGAGTAGCTGGAACTACAAGCAGCTGCCACAACCCCTAGCTATTTTTTTGTGATGGGGTCTTGCTCTTTTTTTCAGGCTGGTCTCAAACTCGAGTTCAGGCAATCTACCCACCTTGGCCTTCCAGAGTGCTGGGATTAGAGGTGTGTGCCACCTTGCCCAGCTTGGCTGGTTTTCACTTCCTGGGCACAGGTTACCATGCCCGCCTCCAAAATAGGTTTCTAATATGAGGGGAACTAAGAACACTGGTCCAGATTTGCTTTCCAGATATAGTACTTTCCGTTTACTTAAAACTTTCTAAAGGGATAAACCAGCAAGAAGTGCTAGTTTCTATTCCAACATGTCACTTGCAGCCAAGGCTGTCTTTCTTTTTGTTGAAATCATACAAGGTCAAAACATAAAAAATTAAAAGAAATCAGGCTCGGCGCCTGTGGCTCAAGTGGCTAAGGCGCCAGCCACATACACCTAAGGTGGCGGGTTTGAATCCAGCCTGGGCCTGCCAAACAACAATGATGGCTGCAACCGAAAAAAAAAAAAATAGCCAGGCGTTGTGGCTGGTGCCTGTGGTCCCAGCTACTTGGGAGGCAGAGGCAGGAGACTCGCTTGAGCCCAGGAGTTGGAGGTTGCTGTGAGCTATGCCACGGCACTCTACCCAGGGGGACAGCTTGAGGCTCTGTCTCAAAAAAAAAAAAAGAAAGAAAGAAATCATACAAGGCCCCCCTTTTTTTTCATTTGTTTATTTATTTATCATAATCCAGACATCAAGGGTACCAGGACCCTTTTATTGTGATACCACTTTCTGTTTTCTTTATTACTTTTTCTTTTTTAACACAACAGGCTGTCGAGTCACCTCCAGCAGCTCCCAATTCAGTTCACGTGATTCAGCACAGTTTTCTGATTCTGGCTCTGCTGATGAGGTTGATGAATTTGAAATCCAAGGTAAGAAATGACACTCTATTAGTTTTCATTACCTGTTTTTTTCAATTTAGAATCATAGCTGAGAAGCTTTTCCTAAGTAAAAGATTTTCATTATGGTCCATTATAGATCATTGTCAGCTGTGGTATGGGACACCCTGTCTGGCTAAAATGAAAATCCCTTTAAAGTTTAAGCAGAAAAGAACAGGAAGTGGTTCAAGTGGAATGGGCTGGCTGTTGAAGTCCTCAATGGTATCTTTTTCTTGGGTTCTCACTCTGATTCTTCCTTCTAGCTCCTAGGGTTGGCCTATACCACATGAAATTAGATTCCTATTCTCTTATTCAATTTTTACACATATTTTCCAGATCTCCAGGAGATCTTTCTTTGTTCTCCTTAATGTAGCTGATTTCTGTCCATGACAATAATAGTCACTTAAAACTCCATTTTTTTCTTTGTATGTGGTTTTTCAACAATTCTTCAGTTCCTTGCTGCTGGCTGGGTGTCCTACAATCAGTTCTGACACTAACTACTTGGAGTTTAGCACAGATCCCAGGGTTTAAAGGCTGAATCCTGTAAGATTACTTCACTTCAGATGCCAGAGACAAGTCGATTCACCAGGCTACCTGCACTTTTGTTCACCTGGTTACAGATTCAGGGGTTCCCATGACCCCCTTGCTACTAGGTTAAGTAATACACTAGAATGACACAGAATTTAGGAAAATGATATATTTATAGTTTATTATAAACAAATAGCCACATGAAGAGGTATGTAGGGCAAGGTCCTGAAGTGTCCCAAGCACAGAAACCTCTGGTCCTGTGGAGTCAAGACTTTACACTCCTAGTACATTGATAAGTTCACCAACTGGGAAGCTCCCCCAAACCTCATTCCAAGTTTTTAATTGAAATTTTATTATGGAAGTCTGCTTGATTAAGTTATTGGTCATTGGTAATTAAACTCAATCATCAGCCTTTCTCCCCTCCTTGGAGATGAAGGGGGAGGGAAAGTTCAAATCTTTTAATTATGTGATTGGTTTTTGTGGTGACCAGTTCCCATTCTGAAGCTATCTAGGGGCTTGCTAAGAGCCACCCTATTAACATATACTAAAGTATGTTTGAAAGGGGGCTCCTTTTAAATAATAAAGGACATTGCTATGATTCAAGGTATTCTAAGAGTTTTAGGATCTCTGTGCCAGGAACCAGGAACGAAGATCAAATATGTATTATTAATTATACCATAGTCTATGATTGACTTCAAGTTTCTTCTAATTAGAAGAAAGTAAAAGAGTTCTGCCCTCTCTCTCAGGATCAGTAATCAGAATTTCATGAGGGTAAATTCAGAACATTCTGCTTTACTGGGTGTGGAACAATCCACTTGACTATTAAACCTTTTTTCCTAAAGCTAAGTAGGGAGCCAGGGGAAGCAGTTCAGTCTGAGAGGAACCTGCCTATGGATGACAAAGTACACCCTGTTGGAAATGTTGATGCTATTGTGTGCCCCAAAGAGATGTTTAATCAACTATTTTTCTAGTCAGTTCAGAGCAGAAACCCTTATAGACAGGGTTTCTTAAATTTAAAGATTTAAGACAGGGTTTTCTTAACCTCTAAGCTAGGTGATTCTTTGTTGTGAGGGACTGTGGTGTACACCACAGTACACTCATCACAGTGAGTGCCTACCTGCAGATGTAACTTCCTAAAAGCCTTTTGTTAAATCAAAATCAAGTTCTGATTCCAGGAACATGGGGTACAGAACTGTCATTGTCATCAGTTTACTTCCTGTCAGCATTCTAAAGGGCCCCCTTTTACAATCGTTATTGCACAGATGGTAGCGAAGGATCTAACCTGACTCACATGTCAAAGAATGGACTCTCAGTGTCGATGGCCTCCATGTTCTCAGGTAGCCTGTGTTGGAAGCGTGGATGTGCTCACACATGCATGTATGTAAATATTAGAGGAGTTATTTTGTATCAAGTGATCATTTAATACCTGTCAAGGTATAGGACTTTGAACTAAATGGAAAAAACTGGACATAAGCAATTTAGATATTCACATATTCTTCCTCATATGACCCCAACAGTCTTCTTCATTAAGTTTGTTGATTCTTCCCTGCAGTTATAATTTTAGATTAAGTGGTCATTGTGATTGATAGAGGCCCTGGACCGTTTAGGAAGGAGTGGTCATGAAGAATTTTAGTTCGAACCTATACCTAAGCTACTGCTACACATTCAGATAGCAAAAGTAGGATAGAATGGTATAAAGCTTAGTGTCTCTTTTGAATTTGTAGAGCCAACTTTCAGAAAGCTATCTTTGCTTGATACTTCATATAGAATTAGGATTTACTGCCATATGTTTGTCCTTAGTAATCACTTTATGATCTAAATAAGTAGGCTTTCTGTAGATGTAGTTAACTAAAAGAAACTAGCAGTTTCATACTCAAAATGGCTTTAAACATGTAAATAGGTCTAGTGAGGTGCCTCATACCTCCCATCCTAGCACTCTAGGAAGCCAAGACAGGAGGATCATGTGAGCTCAGGAGTTTAATACCAGCCTGAGCAAAAGTAAGACTCCATCTCTACTAAAAATAGAAAAACAACCAGGCATTGTGGTAGACACCTGTTGTCCCAGCTATAAAGGAGACTGAAGCAGGAGGATTGCTTGAACGTAGGTGTTGGAGGTTGCCCTGAGCTGGACTGATGCCATGGCACTCTAGCCTGTAGCCTGGGTGACCAAGTGAGGCTCTGTCTGAAAAAAAAAACAACAGCACAACCAAAACTCAGAACTTTTTATTAAACAATTATGATGTTAACATTGTCAAACACTAGAATTTGAAATAATTACATAAGATTAGATTTAAAGCAATAAAGACAAATATTACATTTTCTTACTCAGTGAAGAAGTTGATCTCTTGGAGGTAGAGAGTAGAATGGTATTTGCTAAACCCTGGGAAGGGTATGGGGGCAGGGCGGGGTGAAGTGAGATTAGTTAATGAGTACAAACATATAGTTAGAAGGAATAAATTGCCATGTTCATTAGCATAATAGGGTGGCTATAGTTAACAATGTATATTTCAAAATAGCTAAAAGGTTTTGTAGTGTTTCCAACATAAAGAATTTGGTAGGGCGGCACCTGTGGCTCAGTGGGTAGGGTGCGAGCCCCATATACTGAGGGTAGCAGGTTCAAACCCAGCCCCGGCCAAATTGCAACAACAACAACAAAAAAAAATAACCGGGCATTGTTGTGGGTGCCTGTAGTCCCAGCTACTCGGAAGGCTGAGGCGAGAGAATCGCCTAAGCCCAAGAGCTAGAGGTTGCTGTGAGCTGTGTGACGCCACAGCACTCTACTGAGGGCGATAAAGTGAGATTCTGTCCTTTGGCAAAGCATCAGAAATAACCTTTTTTTTTTTTTTAAAGTCACAAAGTCTCACTTTATCGCCCTTGGTAGAATGCCATGGTGTCATAGCTCATAGCAACCTCCAACTCCCGGGCTTAGGCAATTCTCTTGCCTCGGGCTCCTAAGTAGCTGGGACTACAGGTGCCCACCACAATGCCTGGCTATTTTTTGTTGTTGTTGTTGAAGTTTGGCTGGGGCTGGGTTCTAACCTACCACCCTCAGTATATGAGGCCATTGCCTTACCCACTGAGCCACAGGTGCTGCCCCCATCATCTATTCTTTTTTTTTAATGCTGTCCTTCAGAAATAATACTTTTAAAGCAATTTTACTATGGTAAAATTTTATGTACTATAATTTCCCCACTTCAAGTATATAACTCTATGATTTTTAATAAATTTACCAAGTTTTATACCCATCACCACAATTTATTTCCAGAACATTTTCATCACCCCAGTAAGATCCTTTCTGCCCATTCACAGCTAATTCCTATTCATACCCCTATCCCTAGTCAATGACCAATGTATTGTATAGATTAGTCTTTTCTGGACAATTCATATAAATGGAGTGAATAATAATATGTGATACATGATCTTTTGTATCTGGCTTCTTTCACTTCATCTATTTCTTTTTCTTTTGAGACAGCCTCAAGCTATTCCTCTGGGTAGAGTGCTGTGGTGCTGTGGCATCACAGCTCACAGCAACCTCCAACTCCTGGGCTCAAGCGAGTCTCCTGCCTCTGCCTCCCAAGTAGCTGAGACCCCAGGCACCCGCCACAACTCCTGGCTGTTTTTTTGGTTGCAGCCATCATTGTTGTTTGGCGAACCCGGGCTGGATTCGAACCTGCCACTTTAGGTGTATGTGGCTGGCACCTTAGCTACTTCAGCTACAGGCGCTGAGCTGACTTCATCTATTTCTACTGATGGTTTCTGTTAAATTGGTTTGAGACTATTCATAAGCTCCCAGCCCCAAGTGGTCTTTTCAGCTTCTTTGGTTTTAGGGTTTTGTTATGCTTGTTTTTGTCTTTTTTGTTGTTGTTTCCCTCTTCATCCTCTTCTGTTACATCTTCATCACTTCTTTATCTTCATGTATTCTTCTAGAGTTCCAGTCTTCTGCATATGTGTATCTAGTTAAGGTGCAATCAAGAGAAGACAGAAACCACACAGTAATTTGAATAGGAAAAGCTTAATATAAAAAATTAGTAACGATAATGGGAGATTCGTGTAATGGGAGATTGACTCATAAGCAGTAAAGAGAACTCTAAAGAATACAGGAAGAGCAGGTAAGAGATAGAACATTTAGGGAAGGACCAAATGTAAAAGGGCCACATCCCTATGGCTGAGACCTAGACCTTCTGGCTTACTGGATGGTGGAGGTTCTCTGAAATGCAGAGCTGCCCCAAGGTAGTACACATACCAGAGGACACTATCCAGGAGGACACGTCATGTCAATGACTCTTGCCAGGAAGCCATTCTTTGGGAAGCTGGGGAAGGCTGCCCCCAGGGAGGTGGTTTGCCTCAGGACTCACAGAGTACTGGGGAAAGCAGTTGATGCGGAGGTGCTAAAGAGAACCTATGGCTCTCACTGGAAAAAAGCTCCCACAGGAAGCTCTCCCAGAGGGTACCAAAGATTGCTGTTATGAGGGTTACCACTCCTGGCTATCTGCTGCAAAGCTGCCCAAGGCATGCTTTGCCAGGGAAATTCTCATGCACTGCAGGAGTCAGCTGATAAAGCATACCAGAACAGCAGCTCTTTCAGCATCCCTCCAGTGCCCTCTACTGACAAGAGCTTAACATCGTGCCTCCTGGCAAAGGAGAAACATTTAAGGGTCCAGCTCCATTATCACAGAGCAAGCAAAAATAAGTAAGGGCAGATTTGGAGCTGAAAGGAAATAAACTGATAGATGGCATAATATACTATAAAGAAGAAAGAAAATTACATTTTCTGGCAAGTTTTAAAATTTTATCCAATTTTAGGTAATCAGTTGTTTCTTCGTCTCTCCCTACTTTTTAATCAATTTTTTTCTCTCTTTATTTTTATTTATTTATTTATTTTTTATTTTTTGAGACAGAGTCTCACTTTGTCACCCTCAGTAGAGTATTATGGCATCATAGCTCACAGCAACCTCAAACAGTTGGGCTCAAGTGATTCTCTTGCCTAAGCCTCCTAAATAGCTGGGACTACAAGGCACCTGCCACAACGCCTGGCTATTTTCAGAGATGGGTCTCACTCTTAATTATGCTGGCCTCGAACCTGTGAGCTCAGGGCAGTCCACCCACCTCGGTCTCCCAGAGGGCTAGGATTACAGGTGTGAGCCACTACGCCTGGCTTTTTTCCCCTCTTTTTAAAACAAGAATAATTATGGTTCTCCTTTGTAAAGTATTTCTCCTGAGCTAGCTATTACAGAAAATTCATTGGAGTTGGATTCCAAGATGTGTTTGGTATCACCTCATTTGCTAGAAGGAAAACAGGATGGGAACCAACATCAGACTAGCCAGTAAAGTCTGAGGCTGAATCTTCTTGTGCTTCATTTATTTTACTTAAAAATTTTCATATTTTGCTAAGGTACCTAAATTGTAACCAGTTCTTTCCCGATCACCTAATACCAGTGTCTAGACATGGAGCAAATTCTTCTCCTCATTATATGTCATATTTTTGTTTGTCTTTATAACTTTTTTCAATCAGTATTAATAGCCTTAGCATTAAAAGCACTTGAAATCAGTTCTCTTGGAAAATATATATTTGTTTTGTTAACAAAAATCAATAAAAAGTTTCATAACTATGCTTAATTCCACTTGGAGGGTTAGTTTGTCAGACTTCTTTCTGAAGTGCTGTCACTTGGGATACATTTGATCTATCCATTTGAATGGATAGATTCCTCTTCTCTCTTTACTCCTTAGTTATCTGTCTTTGACCTTGGTCTGCTTTTACTCAGATCCTCAGCTAATATTCCCACCATGTCAACTTAGTCATCTGCTTGAGCTGACCAAAGAGTTAACAACAAGATACAGTATAGGCCTGCTATCCATACAGCCTTGGGGTACTTGTCCAGTGTCAGGTGTCATGTCCCTTTTGGAATCAAGTGCTACCTCTTTCCATCCACTCCTGGAGGTAGGACCTTTCCTCTAAAGCAGCAGTTCTCAACCTGTGGGTCGCAACCCACAGGAACTGTATTAAAGGGCCGCAGCATTAGGAAGGTTGAGAACCACTGCTCTAAAGCCATGTGCTCCTCAGCACTCTTGGAAGTATTCATGATTAGCTAGGAAGTACCTGCATGTACCTCTGACCTCTTTGTACCTCTGCTG